AGTTAACAAACCCTGCCTGAAGGTGTGTAAAAAGAGCATGGGTGCAGTTTCCCTGCATTTGAAATGCAGTTCCTTTCTCCCAGACTGTTAACAAACCAATTTAAATCCTATCCTGGTAAGACTTGCAGTGTGAATTCATATATAGAATGGTTTGGGTTGGCAAGGACCTTAAGGTCATCTAGGTCCAACCCCTCTGTCCCGTTAGGGACACCTAACACTAGATCGTGTCGACCAAGGCTCTGTCCAACCTGGCCGTGAACACTGCCAGGGATGGTGCATTCACAACTTCCCTGGCCAACCCATTCCAGTGCCTCACCACCCTAACAGGAAAGAATTTCCTCCTTATATCCAATCTAAACTTCCCCTGTTTAAGTTTGAACTCGTTACCCCTTGTCCTGTCACTACAGTCCCTAATGAAGAGTCCCTCCCCAGCATCCCTATAGGCCCCCTTCAGATACTGGAAGGCTGCTCTGAGGTCTCCACGCAGCCTTTTCTTCTCCAGGCTGAGCAGCCCCAAGTTTCTCAGCCTGAAACTGCTCTGGGTCTGGCACAAGTTTAATAATGAAATTATTTTGAAGGAAGCTTTTTAGCTATCAGTGACTTTATGACATGGCTGGCAGGGCTGTGAAGGGGATGAGTTTGGCCACATGGCAGCAACCGGGACTGACTTTATGCTAACATGTCAGACAGCCATCTGGGTCTGATGTGATGGTCAACCACCATGAGACATTCAGACACGAGAACTTGGGCATTTGTATTTGTAGCACTGAAAAACAGCAGTGTCCATGTTACCGTCTCCCCCTAAATCCCTCTTGAGTCAAATCAGGAGGAAGGCTTTGAACAGCAATGCCCTTGGGAAGGGCATAAATAAATGTGCCACCAGGGATATATCCATTTAATACCAGCATGTCCCCGGAGAAGATGTTTACTTCCTGCACACCTGCTGTTGACCCCTAGTTCACTGAGGAGAATACATCTTTTTCTCCCTGGGGAGAATCCATGCTTGTGTTCTATATATTGGGGTAGGTAAATAGCCCTCAACATGAGTAAATTAATGTAAAATAGACTTATTTGGCATTTTTAACCATGAAATCTTACAAATACCAACAAATTGGACATGACGAAGAGGAGATGGCACAAAAATGTCGGCGAAGGAGGAGATGGGGAAATCAGTCCTGAGGAAGGCTCTGGCACTCGCAGGATGTGAGAGAGCCAGAGCTCATCAGTTCAAATGTAATCTCCCAGAAAGAAAGAAAGGGGCAAGCAAGGGTGTCACCTTCCTGCACAAACAATGCTGGAGTTCTGTGCCTGATTTCCATGAGAAAGGCCACTCCTGGCATTGACATTCTGTGGCATCAAGTCCCCACCACAGACCTCCTCAATGTGAGGCTGAAAGAGGAGGGGAGGAATAAACTCTGCTTTCCCAAAGGGCTGGAGCTGCCGAAGAGGCCCATGGAAAGCCAATTGTGCAATGAGAGAAAACAGGGAGAGAGGATCCCTGCTCATAGCCACAGTGAAAATATAAGTGGGAGGGGGGCTAAGAGGTGCTTTGATGCATTTACATCAACTTTATGTGAGCAGCACTGGGTTAAAGTGAAATTGTTGATGAGGACACTGACGTAGGGTTGCTTTTGAATCCTGAAGTGTTTCCTTCGTATGCATAACATCCATAAGTGCTGCTGATTTCCAATCCTGGCGCACAGAGTTTTTATGAGTACTTTTCATCTGTCGATCTTGGAGGGCTTTACAAAGGAGAGAGCTATAAATAAGACAGATGGGAAAGTGAGGAATAAAGAGGGGCTTTTAAAGGGTGATAGATCGTTTCTTTAAGGGTTTCTGTGGATAAGAACTAGATAAGAACTGCCATTTTACTGAGTATAAAATATTTTGCAACTGCACACTGTGCCAAATTACTCAAGCATAGATATTTATGTTATTAAGGTGAAAGTTTTGTCATGCTGTGTGCAAATTGTCTCTAGCTAAGCTTTTGGAAAATACAAAAAGGAAAGCATTTAATGTTCAATTTTAACATACTGTATGGATGTTTTAGGCACTTTTAAACTGAACAGATCAAAGCCCTTTATTCCTAAATGCCAGAAATCCAGTGATATTTGTGTAACTGTGTAATTTGACCTGTCTGTTTTACATGTTCCCAAGGGCTTATTATAGGCAGCTTTCAAATTAAGTGGGCTGGAACATTTGATGCTCTCTTCCCTGGTTTTCAAAGCCTTTGCAGAGCCCATACTGGGTGAGTGACGCTGTTGTTAAAGTGGTCGCATTTTAGTTTTATCACGAGGTACTCAGCACAACGAGGGAATGGAGATTACCCTGGTCCTGATTCCAGCTCTGCCACTCCAAGGCAGCCATTTCATTTCTGCCCCCTTCATCTTTCCCCTCCATGGAACAGGGTACAATATTTCCTTATCCTCCAAGGTGTCACGAAACTTAATTAACCTTGAGGGAAGGAATGGGTGAATTGCAAGCAACAGGGATAGAGTGAGAAAGGCAGTTTAAGCATCTCTGTGTTGATACTCACCTGCATGGGGCCGCTTTACCACAGATGCTCTTCAGTGCCACAAATTTGGCAAGCTTGGGAGAGCCTCAGATAGTGTCCCTGCATTTGGAATAACATTATTGTATAACTGGCAGGCAGCCGTAGGCTGATGGCTCAGGGATGTTTTATGCAGCAATCCTTTCACCCAATGGTGACCTTGTAACTGGATCATAAAAGCCATATTCCACCCGCAATTGCACCTGAGCTGCCACTATTTACATTGCAATAGCACCTAGAGGCCCCATTGTATAAGGCACAGTAAAACTGTCACTGCAAGAGACTGAAAGTGGGAGGGGAATCAGGAACAGAAGAAAAATGTTTGTCTCAAGGACATATATCAGAAAAGGAGCTCAGACAGGAGCAAAACTCAGGTCTCCCAAGTCCTGGTAACAATGGGGTTTAAGGAAAAAAGGTGTATTTATATACTAGGAATGTAAATCGCTGGGATACCACAATGTCTGCAGCAGGTTTTTTCCTTTATTATTTTTCTGGCTGTAAATGTGCTTGTTTGGTAGTTTAGGGGTTTTCTTAGACACTAATATTTAGACAAATACTAAATTGCAATTAAATTGTCAATACCTTCATGAGATGCATGATTTTATCTGAAGTATGTTATGATTTTCCTAATAACAGACCCAAAGGATCAACATTTTTTGTGTTTGAAGAGCTAATTGTTTCTGAAGCAGTGCTTGCTGGGTTTGCAGTGCTCTTTTGTAGGTCATGAAACAATGAATTTTCAAGTCACATCATCCTGCTTTCTCTCCTGTGTGTTTCTATGTCACTATCAGCTCTGCTTTGGTTTGATCTAACCAGATGGTATCTCACAAGATGCTAGACATGAATATTTCATATGGTTTAGAAACTGTTTTTCCTTGCTCTTCAGTGGTAAAATGTGTTGATTTAAGACTTTTCACAACTTGAGACACTTTCTGGCATGGCTCCGTAACTCAGGCCAAAGACAGCTGAACATTGTTGTCATCTCACAATGTGGGAAGCAGAGGATGTTTTGGGCTGCTGGAAAAATGGAGCTGAAATTTTCCATTAAGGATAAAAAAAAGAAGAAAAGCATTTGTCAGGCAGCAATCTTCCAATCTAGCTGTACTTGGGTTACATTTTCTGGACATAATGTGGAAAGTCAGAGGCATTAGATCAATGCAATTTTTGATCCATCGAACCGGCAGCCAAGTTAATCTCCCATCTCTGAGCCAGTGAATACTTTGTTTTCATTCAAAGTCAATCATCTTATTTCACTTTAGGCCATTTCTAACACTGTTTTCTTATTTACAGTGTCAAAGTCTTCAGCCACCGTATCCTGTGATATAAATCAATTAGCAGGTACCTGCCTTTTACTCAGACTTTGGTTTTGCTTCTCTGTGGAGGCATGAGTGTTTTCTTTTTCCCTAGGTGTGTGTTGGTTTTAGTGGATAATCCATATCGAGTTGCAAGTGTTGCACTGAAACTTTGGAACTTGCAAACCCAGCTTATTCAGTTTCTTCAGCCACATACGAAACTCTTTATTTTAGCTCTAAGCATTCTCAGCCATGATCCAGCTCTGGATTAAGACACACAGAGCTTGATATTCAGTTTCCCACACATAGATCTTCAGTGACATTTAAGATGTCCTAGAGGATTATGCCTAACCTCCATCTCCTGCTGCAGAAGGTGGCAAATCCATTGTGTAATTTCTGCCAGTCCTGTAAATGCATCTGAGATACCCTAGGGCATCTCCAATGACACTTGATGCTTGCATATCAATTGGTTAAATGTAAATGCCTGTGTGTGGTTATCTACCTCCAAGCTGAGTGTCTGTATTCCCACTAGAGTCAACAGGGATCCAGTCGGCAGAGCCTGCAGAGTTGACCATACAGACCTTAAGCATCCACTTTAGGGTATGTAATCATCATGCTTTTCTGCTTGACTTTCAGATGACCCATTTTTGAGAGCAGGACATATTTTGCTCTTTCGTGAGCATGCTGGCAACTGATTCAGACACTCTGTATACCAAACAGTGCTACACAACTCCTTCTGTAACGTAGAAGGAGCTGTGTAGTAAAGAACTGAGGATCTAGGACTTTCTTTCCAGCTATAAGGGTGACACCTCAAAAAGGAAAGCAAATTGCCAAGCAAAATTCCTCCTTCACTCAGCTGTGCTGCTTCTTGTCCCCCAACAAATGCTTTGCAATCTCCTGGAGTCTTTGATGGTCCATTCATAGAAGTGAGCAGTTGTGGTCACTCAAGCCAAGCTTTATATCAATGTGCATCTGCTCTTGTTTAATTTATGCTCTCCACCATACGATACTCTAGTTAGGCACAGAATCTGGTAGGTATAGTTTCCATCTAATATCAATTTCCAGGTAAGTAATATCATGACACAGGGGTTGGAACTACATGATCTTAAGGTCCTTTCCAGTCCTAACTATTCTATGAATCTATGATCAGGGAGGCAAGTGGTGAATGGTGGTGGGAAGAAGAGCTGGAGTTGAAGTCAGCGATCCAAGGTGCTTGGGAAGATTAAGCAGGTGTAGCACAATCCAGAAGAAAAGAAATAAGAAAGAGGGAGATGGGAAGGAGAATATAGAGACAGAACTGGGAATAACAGGTATTACTGCTTGAGAAGCAGTGTCAGACAATGCTGGAAAACAGAGGATAAAGCACAAAGAAGGCGTTGGTCCTTTGGCTGGACTTCAGTATCTCCCTAGGACATCAGGAGAACAAAGTGTTGAGATTAACAAGAAATCTGTGAAAGCAAAAGCAAACACTCAGGGTGTGTTTATTAAAGCAACTTAAAGAGCAGTGTAACTTATCCCTGATGGCAGAACAGCATGGGGGATGCAGCATCTCTGCCCTCCAGCACACCAGCCCTGCAGGGCCAGAGGCAGAACAGCTCCTGGGTGACAGTCCCATCATGTGCTATTACAAACAGCCCCATGATCTGGTTCAAAAACTGCCAAACTCTGTCAGAAGAATAGTTTGGTTGGTCCCCCTCAATGCACAGCAGCTATTAGGCAGCCTTAGGACATTCCTATTTGGGTGGTTAGAAATCTTCTGGACTAATTCTTTTCTGGGCCAATTTATACCACTTGTTTTTTCACCAGAACTGGCTTTTCACTTACATAGTTCTCCCCAGTGTTTCCCTCCCTGCTGTATTTGTAGAAAGCAGTCATGTTCCGTTGCAGCCACTCTTCTGCCAGGCTAAACAAGACTCGTTATGAAACAGGACATTATAAAATAGGTTCTCCATTCCTGTGGTCCTTCAGAAAGTCCTTCCTTTCACCTAGTCCACACTGAATTTGCCTTTTCTGAACTCAATCAGTTAGATGTGATCACAGATTTCCAGAGGGGATTGATGGGTGGCAGCATTTGCTTGGGACCGTAGCTGCACACTACAGGCCTCTGAGACCCACTTTCAGCTTTGCCAGTTATTACACTCTTACAGCATCCATAGTTTCTATCAGTCACGGTTCCTACATCCCATTCCTGCTCCTCCCAATGGAGTACTTGATGGAATGTGGGTTTTCAGACTTAGCCGTTGCCCCCAACATAGGTAGGACCCTACAGATCTTCTGGCTGGTGATAGCTTGCCTTTAGGAAGGCCCTAATTTCCACTCATTCTTACTTCTAGAAATGTGGAAACCCTTTGCACAAGACAGGTTGGATTCATACCTGCATTTAAAATGGCAGCTCTCAGCTCCTGACTACTTTTGGATTTGCCACCTGTGTCCAAACACAATGTTTGGAGTCCAACAAAGGGACAGAAGATGTGTTGCACACTGAGCAGCACTTTTGGGCTCTGTAAGAGATCCCAAGCACACCATCCCTCCAGCAATGGTATGAACATAGCGCTAGTTTCTCAGCCATACCTTTGCAAGGAGCATTTACTGCTATGCTTCCCTTGGAAAGACAGAAGCGGGGTGGTTTTTTTCCTTAAAAATCAGAACAAAACAATTTATATGTTCAAAATAAAGAAGGTGTGATCTATCCTTATGACCCTTATTGCAGTTTGTCTTCAAGAGGACTTAATCTTCAACCTGCATATTCCAGGCATGGGAGCACTCTTGCAGTGACTGCAAATGTTCTTCCTGACTTATATTACTTTCCTTACTTATAAAAACTAGTTCACCACATTTTTGTTTCACCGCTGTTGTACTCACAGAGTCATTGAAGAGACTTCTGGAGGTCTGTGGTCCAACCACTCGTTCAAAGCAGGGCTCCCTCTAAGTAGCAGTTGGTGGGCTCAGCCATGGCTTTATCCTACGAAGCTATGAAAACCCTTAAGGACAGAGAGTCCACTGCCCCCTGTCTGGCTAAGGGGCTCAGCTTGGTCACATAGAGGAAGCCCTGAAACCCCATGGCCAGCGCTTGGGCATGGCCAAACCCTGCCAAAATCAACACCTTGAGCAGTTCAGTCCATCAGCTCATCCATGAGGCTGCTCAGGCAAGATCTGCCCTTGAGAAGCTTTCATTGCCTGTTTCACAAAGGGAGAACATACAGACGGACACTTACTTAGAGTGTCTTCAACACTGAAGTCTCTCACCCAGAACATCCAATTTTATCTATTTAAAAAACAGATCATTCTAATTTGTCTTCTAATAAAAACAAACCCTTCAAAGTCAACTCTCTTCTGGTTTGATGTGCTAGCTTTGGGAACAGTTTGCAAGTGGATCTTCAGTAAGGCTTTGGCTCTGCTTTGGTCTCATCACAGACCATCAAACCTGCCCTTGTCACACCTCTGCTCTCCTGCTACACCTATCAGAAGGATTTGGCTGGAGATCATTATAGTCTCTGCTCACTTCTGAGACCCCTCCACGGAGTCATCTGTCTCACTGAAAATGAAAAGAAAAGGTGTTTTTTGTCTGGTCTTAGTCCATAATTAGATTATCTTTAGCAATTACTCCACTCTGGTGAACAGATATACTTTTACCCTGTTCTCTTCTTAATTGTGATAGAAATCTTTTACTGTGATACGTCTTTTGCCTTGCTGTGTTAACTTTTCTCCCTAATGTCTCGCTAGATCAGAACAACATCTGTGTACACCATGGAGGCCATGGTTGCCATCACTTTTTTATGAATGGACCTCTACCAACCTTCAGCATTCTGCGCAGAACACCATGTACAGGTATTACCTAAAAATTAATTGTATACCTTATTGGAAACATGGCTTAATGTAGCTCCAGAGACTGGCTGTGAATTAATTCCTATGGCTGAATATACCCTACCTGAAATTTCTTCTGAACACCCTCAGGTGCTGAGGACAGACTAGATGGAGGGCAGAGGGAGTTATCCAGCCTTAGCAACTGATCTGCTGTCCTGAAGGGCTATGTGTTATGCTGTGTTTTACTGTGTCAGACCCCCTCTCATGGGGATGTATCGAACACACAAAAATTTTTGCCATCAGCCATTTCCCCAGTCTCTTTCTTTTGTGAGAAGTGGATCATGGTCCTTTGTTTACCTGCTTGGTTAATTATATCCAAAACCTGAAAGCATTCTGTTGGTTTTCTTCTATAGTGATCAGTGAGGCAAAATCTACAAAATCATAGACTCATAGAATGGTTTGGGTTGGAAAGGACCTTAAGATCATCCAGTTACAATCCTTGTGCCATGGGCAGGGACACCTCACAGTAGACCATGTTGACCAAAGCTCTGTCCAACCTGGCCTTGAATGCTGCCAGGGATGGAGCATTTACCACTTCTCTGGGCAGCCTGTTTCAGTGCCTCACCACCCTCATAGTAAAGAACTTCCTCCTTATATCTAACCTGAACTTCCCCTGTTTTAGCTGGAACCCATCACCCCTTGTCCTTTCACTACAGTCCCTAATGAAAAGTCCCTTTCCCACATCTTGTAGGCCCCCTTCAGATACTGGAAGGCTTCTATGAGATCTCCACATAGCCTTCTCTTCTCCAGGCTGAACAGCCCCAGCTTTCTCAGCCTGTCTTCATATGGGAGGTGCTTCAGCCCCCTGATCATCCTCATGGCCTCCTCTAGACTTGCTTCCATAGCTCCTTGTCCTTCTTATGTCAAGGATATCAGAACAGCACATAGTGCTGCAAGTGGGGTCTCATGAGGGCAGAATAGAAGGGTCAGATTCACCCTCTTCAACCTGCTGGAATAACAATACTGAGGCCATTATCTTGTTCAGGACTGACTGACATGGTTGGCTACAGCTGTATTCTAAAACTTCTACCATCCAAACTAGGATGGCCTCATCCAGGCTGCACCAGCTCTTGCATGGTGAGCAGGGACTGTTTGGGAAAATTGTAGCTGGCTGAGATAAATCCAACACTCTTCTCACAGGGTAAGATAGGAAGGATTCAGTTTCAGTGCCCAGCATCTTTCCTTGCATTTTTGCATCCATTTCTATGGGTGTAACCTGCATGGCAGCTCTGCTGATTTATGTTAAAACAAATCATGTCTTTAAAAAACGGAGGGAGGACCCATAACTGTAAATCAAGCATTGCAGCTCTGATACTTGGAAAGATAATACAACAAACTATTTGCTCATCCCTAGAGTATTACAAGCCTACTAGAAGCAGCCAACATGGATTTGTTAAGAATAAAGCATATCACATGAATTTAGTTTAGTTCTTTAACCCAGTGGATAAAGGCGAAACAGTTTTCTTGGCTGTAGTAAACATCTTGGCATAGCCCTGTGAAATGTCCTCACTGACAGATGAAGAAAACTGGTCTAGATGAGCACTGCTTAACCCAGAGGATGCCCCACATCAGCAAAGTCCAGCATATCAAGCCCCTGAAGCCACTTCTGTGATGAGGCATGAGGAAACTTCTACCAGCTGGAGCAAGCCATGGGCTTCCTGAGAAGGAGGAACATCTTTATTCGGAGGAAATTGCTATAAGGCAGAGAGCACAACTGTCTGAAAAAGTCATGCTCAAAGAGAACTTACAAGTTATTCACTTTCCACCACCCAAGGTCAGTTCTACCCCAATTTCACAATGGTTGGATGTTCTCGTCAGCTTTCCTGGTGATAGAGAGCATGCTCTTACACAGTTTGCAGAAGATAACATTATGGGAAGAGGTTCAAGTGGTTTTTTTGGAAGACAGCATTGGAATTCAAGTGATGGAGAATGCTTTCAGAAATAGCCTATAACTGACAAAGTAAAATTAAATAACAGCAAGTGCAAAGTACTTCACCTTTGGAAGAAAAATGAAGTCTAAAACCCCCAACCCAAATGGTGAATATTGGTCTATTCCCCAGTATAGTAAAAAAAGAGAACAGGGCTGTATTAGATGAGATGGCTGAATATAAGCCAGCAGATAAGATGCTGTTGAGCTATTCCCGTGTATGTCACATGGAACAGATGAAAGGCTATTATTCCACTCTGCTTAGCAGGGGCGAGACCTTTCCTGTGGTGTGTGTCCCATTTTGGGCACACACGCTTTAAGAAGTAGGGTGTGCATCTGTGCATGCATACATTTGTGTGTATCAGGGAAAGCTCAGCGAGAGCGACAGCAGTGCTAAGAGATTTAGACAGCGTGACCTATCCAGAAAGAGCAACCAAAGCAGGGGTTATTTAGTTTAATAAAGAGAGCATCAAGTGTGGATGTGGAAACAGGCTTCAAGCAGAGAACAGTGCTACAAAGGGGACACTCACAAGAGGCATTTGTTACACACCAAGAGCAGCCTTGCTTAGACATTAGGAAACACTTAACAATTAGGAGGATAATTACACACTGGGACACTAGGAAGGCTATGAAAGCCAGGATGGGGGTGGCAGGCACCTTTAAAGGTATATCTACCTTTCATCACACCTTAGAGTGAAGAAGTGGTGTGGTGTGAGTGCCCCTCTTGCACTGTGGTTCCCATTCCTCTCCACAGTAGGGCAGGAGATATTTCCAGTGGCAACAAAGAGTAGGTGGCTTTGTTATCCTGAAGTCTGTTCTCTGTTTCTATCCCTTAGGATATTCTTAAACTTCCCACTGAACTCACATTGATAATGTTTTTAAAGCAAAAATTGCCTTGTTATTTTTTTAATTTTTACTTGTTCTATTACAAATGACAATCTTTTTATTTTCTTTTGTTACTGAATATTTAGTCCAGTCATTTCCAAGAGATGGGATAAATTGTGACTGTATGGTTGCTTTTCAGTATCGCATGCCAGCAATTACGGTAATAGCATTACCTTCCTTGCTGGTGCCCAGTGTAACACGAGATCTTTGCCTTCCAAATCCTTTCTGCTTTCCCTTATCACCACATTCACTTTCTGGAAGCTGGCCAGATCCATGTCTGCAGGCCAAGGTGTTCAGACCTGGTGAGGGAACAGAAAAGCAGTGTTTTCCCTGCAGTTCTTTACTCTCAGGTGGGAGCTGTCAGGTTTCTCGGTTGTCAGTTCCTCCGAGGAAGGCTCACAAGCACAAAGCAGCTTTGCAAGGCAGAGATGGGTGACTGGAAAAGCAGAAGACCTGAAGGGCAGGTGCAGCTCATACCATTTCCCCATCCTAAAGAAAAGACAATAAAAGGCAATTAAAAGTGAATGCATAGCCCCCCTCTCCCTAATTCTAGTCCTCCTCTGGTAGATACATTGTATTTTCAGGATTTACCTATTTCTCCATTACAGTTTTTAATGTCTTACATCCAGTGAGTGTGAGGAGCAAAAGAAAGCAAAAATCGAAACAATATCCAGAAGAAAGGGCAGCAGTTTATTCCTCTGGGATATTCTTTAGGGTCTCTCAGTGCCTCCACTGCCCTACTTTGATTAGATGTCCCTTCTCCACCCCCTCCCCCCCCACCCCCTCCCCCCGCATGTCTGAAATCATGTTAACTTGTTGACACAGTCATTTTGGGCATGATGAGTTTTGAAACTACTGTTTTAAAGCAAAGGAAAATCCTGACATGTCCATGAAGTCAGGAGTTGTCAAAACAAACACTGCTATTTTCTGAATTGCCTCAATCTGCACCTTCTTGTGCTTGTTTCCTCTTTGCCTTGCAAGAGAGTAGAAGCAGAGCTGTGGTCAACAGGCACACAACCTTCTCAACCTGAGCTTTGTTTAAGCCTGAAGAGAAGGGAATGTGACCTTTGCAAGTCATTTGCAGCATCTTGCAGTTGGCTTTAAGCTTTGCATCAATTGGCCTGATCCTAGCTTGCTGTGCAGTCACAGCATGTCACGTGCTCCATGCATACAAGTGCTGCGTGAGAGCTCAAGGCAGATGCATGCAGACATAGATCATCACACTGGCATATTTCAGATACATCTTCATTATGCCATGGACTGAAAGACTAGTCCACATGAGCTCAAGCTGTACAGGACTCTTGCTCATTGCAGTGCACCCCAGACCGGTCTCATTTAAAAAGCTTATTATTTTACCTGTGTTTTCTTTCCTATACTGGATGTGGAATAGCTGTATTGTATTGCACTGCACTCTCTTGCATAGTAGCCAAGTTGCTTTGTACACTTCAGCTTATTAGTGAATGGAATTCTCCAAAAGCTGGAGGGGACAGCACATATTTGCACACCTTTGAGTCAGTTATCCAAAAACTTTATGAGGTATCTTGGGGTTTGCCTAATTCAGAAGCTAAAAGGGAGCCCTTATACTTCAAACTAAGAAACTTTGAGTTCTAAGGGGTTTTATTATTATTTTTAAGATTAAGCAGATCTGTGTCTTAACAGAAAAGTTCATAAGCTTCCCAGGAATGCCTGCAAGAGGAGCAGACAGCACAAGAAGGGGTAGTGAATCTTGGCAGAGCCAGGGATGCTTGTGCCAAGGGATGCTGGTAGAAGTAATGGCTTGGCTGATGCAGAAGCTGATGGTCGATGAAGTTGACCACCTGGCACATGAGCTTGGATGAGGTGCCCAGCTTGGTGGCAGGTGGTTTTCTTCCTGAGCATTAGCTCTGCCAGCACAAACCCATTCATCAGTGTGAAATCAGTGTCACTGTAAATACAGAATCTGGCCTGAATCCGGCAAAGCATTCAGTGCCCCTGTCTCTTTGTCAGTGAAGCTGGAATTGCAGGTGATCTGTCCTGTCCAGATTTGATGCTGTTCTGTATAGTAGAAAGAAACTGTAAAAGGCTGTAAAAGCCAATTTTTTTCCCCCAAAAAGGAAGAAAATTATAGCCTTTCTTCTCTTTGTTACCATGTTGTAAAACTGGTATTTAAACA